ATTTTCTCCTGCTCGGGTTGGGATGCGGTTTCTGAGCAGGAGAAAATAACTAATGAACACCTAATCAAAGATGAATACTAAGATGAAACTGTCGGAAGAAAAACTTTCTATTTTAGTGTCCTCTTTCATGGTCCCTTTCATCCAATGAATACCCCCCGTATTCAAGGTAATTTTGTGGTTTTGCTTCCCCCTCGGTAGAGATGAAATTTTGCGCTCATTTTGATTAAAACAATCACACCAAAATCAGAGATGTCCCATTTTCTTAATTACTCGATTAACAACTAATTGTTTTTTTTTATGTTCGCTGTGCTGTCATTTTTCCACCAATGAGAGTATAGCACATGTTTGAAACGATCGGTGATGATTCTGTGGAAAAGTTAATGCTTATATCGACATGATATAGCCAATTACAAATATTTTACTTTTCGGTTCGTTAATCGATTAATCGATTATTCGAATGAAAATCGGCCATCACTAGATGAATGTGAAACGTCATTTCAAATATAAGGACCGTTCAGAAATAATGATACAATTTAAAAGGGACCGGGGCTAATCACAAATAACGTCCGCACGGTAACTGAAATAAACACGAGTGTTCACCGGTTGACCTAATTCTGATCCGATACCAAAATTTGTGTCGATCAGCATGATATAAGTGGTAGAATACCAAAGAGTTATACCAAAAAAATGCACGCAAAATACTTTGTAAATAGCAAAAATTGATATTTGAATACCAAAAGAATACCTGTGTGATATTCTTTGGTATTGCATTAGCATAATTTGGTATTGGAGTGATAATGTGGGAACAATTTTTTGGTATTATTTTTTGGTATTATTTTTTGGTATTTTACGAGGGGTGCGACACATCTAAATTTCGATTTTAAATGGTCGAAACATCTCACACTAGCGAATCAATCTACGAAAAATCTTTTTTCATATCTTGCATCTAAACCCATCTACTCGCATCGCTCTCCACCTTTTTGCAGGAAATCTTCAAAATCATAATCAATCGTGTTTCTATAGATAGAAACACGATTGATTATGATTTTGAAGATTTCCTGCAAAAAGGTGGAGAGCTAATTTTTTTGCTTTGATGTTGTGAGATGCACTCGCGCTTAATAGATCTATTAAGCACGAGTGCATCTCACAACATCAAAGCAAAAAAATTCCTGCGTCTTAGATAGAGTCACCCCCCTCGGTATTTTACCTCTTATATCTGGCTCATCCATACCAATTTAAGGTATCGAGATATTCGTTCCTACTCGCGATACCTTCATTGATGCATAGGGCCAACATGAAAGACTTCCATCCTGGACGGCTGCTTGCTTTTGCTTTAACCTTGAACCTGGTCAAATTCCTGTCGACTTAATTGATTAATATTTGTTGATGCTTCAGCGCCATTTACCGACCAATGAAAAACAAATAAATGAAGCATTTGGGCATAGAAGCTGATAAAGCAAAGACACCCGAGCAGAAACGAACATCTCGATACCTTAAATTAGTATGGATGAGCCTGACATAAAAGGTAAAATACCAAAATATAATACAAAAAAAAAAATTTCCCACGATACCATTCCAATACCAAATTATTATAATGCAATGCCAAAACAATACCATACAGGTATTATTTTGGTATCCGAATATCAATTTTTATTATTTACAAAGTATTTTGCATACATTGTTTGGTATTATTCTTTGGTATTTTACCTCTTATGTCATGCTGATCAACACCAAATTTTGTTATCGGATCAGAATTAGGTATGCATTAGTTATTTTCTCCTGCTCGGGCAACCTATTTTTTTAAAGTATCCGTTGACTAATCGCGACAAAATGTATTTGACTATATACGTTTACGTAGATTAAATACAGTAACCCCTCCATATAAGGGGTGAGTGGTACTATACACCCACCGCTGTTTCTCGGCTGCCCTTCGACCAATTAGAGGCTGTTCATTAACTACGTAGACGTTTTTTTTTGGGATTATTGACCCCCCTCCCCCCTGCATAGATAATTGTCCGTACAAATTTTTTAAAATTTGTATGAGCCGTGGATAATTGTCAAGACCCCCCCCCCCACCCCACCCTAAACGGTCAACGTAGTTTATGAACAGCCCCTTACGCTTTTTTGTATGTGATTAGTGTCAACCATAAACTAGTTATCTACAGAAAATGAGCTCAATTTGGTTGAAGGACAGCCGACAAATAGCAGTGGGTGAATCGCACCACATATATAGTCCTATTTTGAACACATACAACGATGGAAACGGATGCAAACCTATGATCGAGTTTATTGCTCTCCTCTAGTGACATCATGCGGACACTAGTAGCATCTTTTCGTTTAAGCTTCCCATCGATTACACGGTCGTTCAGACTAACTCAAAATGGAATCGAGTCGAGTCAATTTCGTCAATAGTTGATTTACTCAAAAGTGAGTATAGTAATAGACTGAATGAAATCGTCTACGTGTATTGTAATAGACTGAATGAAATCTCTATCGATTTTCCTCTATTCAAGATTTGTTTTGCCTCGAAAAGGAAAATTGGGTTCTTTAATTTTTAAAAATGTATTGGTTTTTATACATCATCTGAAAGAGCGTTTCCTGAGCAGTGCGATATTTTTTTTTTCGAACTTACACATTTTCATCTCGATTTTTAAATAAAGATGTAAAGCAAAATAATAACTTCACTGTTTGACACTAAACTAACAAATTCGCCTCCATACAAAGTGACACCGAGGGGCGCTCATAATGTGATTTTTACAAATGTAATCGTACTTATTTAAAACAGCACCAGTGCCACTTTTGACGAAATTGAGTCGACTCGACTCAATTTTGAGGCCATCTCATCGATCGTATAGCTCTACTCAACGTAATCGATCAAAGTGAGCCGCACAAAAAGCTCTCTTCAGCGGAAGTGATTCATAGCATTATTCGAGTTGTTTTTGTTATCGTTAGATCGCTACTGGTTGGTTGCTTATTGGTCCACAAGCCACGTGGACAGTATTTAGGTAAAGTCAGACCCCGCCCACTCTCTGTGTGAACAACAGTTGTTACTATCCTAACAAATATGAATATACTATGGACACTAGGGTGGGTCATGTTTATAAGGTGGATCACAACCCCTGGCTCTCCACAGCACTTTCGATTCATACCCAAGTAACATTTTAAGTTTTATGAAATACTACGAAGCTACTATAAAACAACATTCATAAAACCCTGGTGAAGACTGCTTTGCCATTGATGCATCCACCAAAACCTCATTGATGCTAGAATCTGTCTAGTTGGTCCACTCTGGAGAATGTTGTGAAGGGTATATTTTCGAAGCTCTTCAAGGTTGATTTACTGCAAAATGGTTGTACGATAAACGCATTGCGATCCATTTCAAAACCATGTTTAAGCTACAATAAAAGCTATAAAAGCTACACTTCCCTCTTCTCCACCAGATGCTCAGTCGTTGATGGTACCCGTTCCACCGGACGTGCTGGTTCTTCTAAAGAACTAAATTTTACTGGAATGGACTTTGGTCGTGAGCATCGCTTGAACTTTTCCTCCAACTTCGTTTATCGAGATATCGTTGTCATAAATTTGGTTTTTATTCACTATGAGGATCCATCCTTAAAGTTCAATTTGTAAACAGAGGAGATTTCATGATACACTTTTAAAAGCCTAAAAGGTAACATATACAATAAACTCTCATTTAAAACCGAATGGTTTTATGATTGCTTTAATAATGATAGAACACTTATCAATAAAGTTTATGATTGATTTTTAGAACAGTTTTATGGTGGGATTGAGCACTATTTTAAATTTAATTTTAAAACAAGACAGTTTTTGACTTCTCGCCAGACTGTAAAAGATTTTTAAGACAGCGAAAAGATGAACTACTAAGCAGGAACGTTTTACGCTGTGAAATGCTGTATCTAAACTAAATGGATTGTTCATTGCCTTTATGAAACCATCATAAATCAGAGTGGATGCCAAATGATTGCAGATTTGTTAGTTGGGTTTTGAGGTCCCACAGCAACTGTGCCAAATTTAAACGTATTCGATTGTGATTGGATTTGCGGAAGAGGTCACATCAACGAGTTAGCAATGGAGTACTTGCTTCTACAGGACATTAAATTTAAGTTTACGTAGCTTCTAAGTGAAAATGTACCTAGGTTTATATATATTCGGTAAGTTGCAGTGTTTTCTTCAGTCGAGTATTAGTACAAGACACTGTAGAAGTCTGCACATAGCAGACGAAATACGCAATACGTATCTGCCAAGGATAAGCAAATAAGGTAGTGGTGTTAAATGGAAATTACTAATCCTTCTCTCTCCCTTTATTAAAAAAAATGTTTTTGGGAAAAACGATTTTTAAGTTTATATTTTAAATTCAATCAAAAGCGATGTTCTCTACCCAAAGTACAAAAATTATTGAACACACATTTTCGAGTAACAGTTTTCTGAAAATAAGCTCAACTTTTTTTCTATACGTCCTTTTCAAAATTAAGGCTCGATTTAAAATGGCGATCTGAACATGCAAAATGGCATTTATGGTCATAAGAAAAGTTTCTGCAAATTTTCAACAAATAAAAAAATACCAAACCTAATTTGCGAAAATCTATGTGTGAAAATCGAGGGGGGCGACACATCTAAATCTCAATTCTAGATGCTCAAAAAATCTCACTCTAGCGAATCAATCTTCGAAAAATCATCTTTAATTTCTCGCATCTACTTGCATCGTGCTCCATCTTTTTGCAGGAAATCTTCAAAATCGACATAAATCTTCCTTCTATCTACTCAGCGTGCGTGCAGCTAGCCACAGCAAAACACAATCTTTTCTGCATCGTACATAGAGTCGTCCCCCTCGGTGAAAATATGGAAACAGAGATTGAATTTTCCTCACTGTTCATATTTATTAACTATTCAGGATATCGGATCAAATAACTGGCACCAGCTTCAAGTATACATTTTATTTATTTATTTATTTATTTATTTATTTATTCATTCAACGTCCTCTTATCCCTATCACTTAGGTGCATAAGTGTAACAATAAATTACTTATCCCTACTCGATGCTATTCTTCTAAACCTTACAGAACGAGCTTTGATCTATACTTTGTTGGCGTTTGGGTGTTTGTGTTTATATCCATCCGACTGATTCTAACCTAATCCTACAACCGAAGAGTCTCCAGTAGCATCATCGGCAGAACTAGAACTACTCCTAAGGCTAGACAGTTACGAAAAACAAAAATCAACTATTTCAGTCTACGCACACGATTCGCCTTCCCGGAATCGATCTCAGTTCGCGTTATGTTCCTTGTTCAGCGGAATCCCATTCTCGTCGATCTCCAGCGATGGCACTAGCGGTGGCTTGAAACCCCCGTACTCGATCCGCAGGCTCTTGCCATACGCGGGACTCCGGCGGAACTTGACGTCACTCTTGACAGCCCAGTGGTCCTCCAGCAGGGGCGTAGGCCCAATATAGTCGTCCTTGTAGATTCCGGGCAGAAGCTGAGGCTGCGGTGGCTGGTGGTAGTGATGATGCTGTGGCGGTAGCGGAGCTGCTTGGTAGGTAAATTTGCCTACAAAGTGCGATTGATCGATTAGCGGGTAGGGCAGATAAGGGTTGAAATGGTACGATGATTTACCGTTGTAGACATCTCCGGTCAGTGGGACACCGTAGATATGTTTGGGTTTTTCGGGGAAGTGATGCGGAAGGACGTTAATCTGGCCGACGTCCACGTAGGACGGTGAAGCGATCGATGCTCCAAAGTGAAGATCGTTCTTGGGGTATTGGCTGTGGAAGTAGTAATGCTTCCCAGGGGCTTCAACAACGGGAGGTTTAGGTAGTGGCGGTGCTTTTAGGATATAGTGTTCTGTGTAATGTTTCTTTTTCCCACCGAAAAATTTGTGAAAGTCAAAAAGTTTTTCGTGGTGCGTGGTTTTGATGATGGCGTGCGTTGGTTTGGGTTCATGGACGGTAACAGGGATGAGTTTTTCGACGGGGTACGGAATGGGGACACCTACTGGGACTTCTACCGGGTAGTGAACGGGGACCTGGACCTGGACTTCAACAGGGACTTGAACTGGATAGGGAACCGGACGATCTATGAATTTTTCAACGACCTTTTCGACAGTTACGGGTACGGGAACTTCAACGTGTTTCTCGACAACCGTTTCCACGGGACGATCAACGATCTTTTCGACGATCTTCTCTACCTGCACTTCAACCGGGTAAGGCCGATTAACAATCTGGGTAACGGGATAGGGAACCTGAACCTCTTTGGTGACGACCTTTTCTACCGGGAAAGGGCGATCAACAAATTTTTCGACGATCTGTGTTACCGGGTAGGGCACCTGGACTTCTTTAGTAACGACCTTTTCAACAGTAACAGGCTTCTCGACTATCTTTTCCACTGTAACGGGAAACGGTACATGATGAGGAACGGGACGATCGACGTAATGATGAACTGGAACCTGTTTCTCGACGGGGTACGGGACGTGGACAGGTGTGGGAACATGTTTCTCAACGATCTTTTCCACTGGATAAGGTACGGGGACTTGCTTTTCTACAATTCGATCAACCGGTTGCGGGACTGGTTTCTCGATGTAAACTGGTTGTGGAACATAGCGATCAACTGGTTTCTCGATGTAGACGTTCTGTTTGACAATCCGATCAACGGGTTTCTCGATGATGATCGGTTGCTGAACTATTGTGGTTCTTGCACCAAACTCACGCTGTCGTTGTGGTTGAGATGGCTCTGGGCCAATCAGGAGATTCTTGATGTTGACGCTCTTTTGAACCTCGACGATAGTCTTGGAACCTTTCTCGTCAACGCAGTCATCGATGTTTTTACCAGAGTTAGAGAGTCGTAATCCTGCCTGAATTGGGGCCAGGTACTTTTGTGGAACAGGTTTTGCAGTTACAGTGATTGGTTCTTTGGCGGTGTAGCGTGCAGTTGACGAAGGGACGCTGGCTGAAGTCGTTCGAAAACGTGTACTCAACCTCGTTGCGGTCGATCCGCGAGCCTTGGTGGATATAGTAATTGGTCTAATCGTGGTGACTTCATGCTTGATCTCAACCGGACCATACTTTACATCATCGTCACACGGCTCTGAAGTCACCTGATTGGTTCGATAGGTTGTCTCCTTCAAGAACTGTCCCTTGTTGTGATCGTCGGCTTCTCCGAGAATTTCCACATTGATCTGTTTGTAGAAGTTATCTGATTTACCACCCGACCGATGGTTTCTTTGAGCTCCCTCAGGCATATCTCCCACGATGATCGGATTGTCGAAGGACGGGACAGCTAAATTATCCTTGAGTCTATGTTCCTTCTTGGAACTCTCACTCGGTTCGCTATCCGATGCTTTCTGTTCCTCCTTATCCGCTTGAACGTTCTCCGACGGTGGCTCCTCTTCCTCGGCATTGTTGATACTCACGACATCTTCGTTCGTTACCAGGTTCTGCGTGGATGTCACCAGCTTGTGGATGCCCTCCTCGTTTATATTCACATACGGCGAGGGTTGTCGCGCAGCAGTAGCATTCTCCTGTTGGACTGGGGCTTCGATCGTCGGTTGCACTAGCGTCACTAGCTGCACCGGTATGGAGTTGGGGTTAAACATTATCTGACTAGACTGTTCGTTGGAGTAGCTGCTGAAACGGGAAAGTCCTGTATTAGTAATTGGCGTGAGCTTAGGTACCATAAGGCAATGCGTTAACCGTTGAAAATTGAACATTGAACATGGATAACTAGAATCATTTTACACGTTGTTCAATCTTATACTATTCTAATAAAGTTACCCAACGAGAGGCTGATAAAAAAGTTGATGTTGTTGTTGTTGTTGCTGCTGCTGTTGCTGCTGTTGCTGTTGCTGCTGTTGCTGCTGCTGCTGCTGTTGCTGCTGCTGCTGCTGCTGCTGCTGCTGCTGCTGCTGCTGCTGCTGTTGCTGCTGCTGCTGTTGCTGCTGCTGCTGTTGCTGCTGCTGTTGCTGCTGTTGTTGCTGCTGCTGCTTTTGCTGCTGATGTGAATTCCGAACATTGTCCGAGTAGTACACGTAGTAGTTGCTGTGAGGACCCAGCGGTATCGAATGTTCATAGTGAACGCCATCCATCAAGAGTGGTCCCATCGTAGGTGGTGGAGACTGCGCATTTATCACGGTGAATAACTGGAATTGTTTCGAAAGCAATTTAGGTTTCAGAACTGCAAAAGCACGCCAAAGCTACCTCATCCGGTGGAACGGTCGGCAGAAGAATCGTTCGATCCGGCTTCGCTGCCGGGTCATTTGGGAAGGGATTTTGGGCGGCCGTCCGCAGTATGGACGTGACCAGTATGAGCGCTACCGTCGTCAGCATCCTGGATCATCAAGGCTAGAAATCTGTGGAAATCAAAGGAGAACGATTATAGACTGTGGTTGATGAAGGCGGGTTTGTCGGACGCTATTGTGCAGGGTAATTTTTTGCGATAATCTCGTGGATCGTGAAACAAGATGAACTATCATTACGAGTTTGCCTCTACTCCACGTCGAAGCTGATGAAGGTGGATAATTTTAAGCGCGTTATACTTGGATACGGTTCGGAAATTGATATCTGTGCGAAAAGTTTCCAATACAACTGCAGGTTATTGACCGCTGTTTTCATAATCCGAAAAATATTCAATACAGTACATAACGAGCAGAAGGTGAATTAACTTCCAACTAGCCCCCTCGGCCACCCACCTCCGAGATAAACTACCTACGGCCGAGCCACTGACTGGCAGATGGTCACACGTTGATAGTAAAGCACGAACATTTCCCCATGTTTTTCGACCAGACAAATTGAACGAAGCAAAATCGCATACCCATTTTTGGAGACCTCGAACTTTCTCGTTGTCACCAATTACATAGATAAAAACTTAATTTTCCTGATTCACTCGCAGTGCCCAGCGTTTTGTCTTTATCTGATCCGCTAAAGGGTGAAGCGTGAAATGTGACAACGAAGAGGGTGCAATTTGGGTACGCCGTATAATGAGCTGAGAAAATTTGGTTATTGTTCAAGGTGGTTGTGCAACGCTAATGGCGCACAATGGTCAGAGACATCCCGTGCTCGATGAAAATGTGGTGTTTATAGTGATTGGCATGATTTTGCTTTGTTTTTGATGAAGGTGGAATTTGTTATGTGTGTCTATTACTTAAGAAACATTTTTAAGAAAGTCTCTTTTAAAGCATTTTAATTTGCATGTAAGTGACAGGAAGCGATTAAAGACTTGCAATGGCCGATTAGAAGTAATTAAATTGCAATCACAGTGACGGTATAGTATCAACAGTTTATGGTTTTTCGCTTGGTTTAACGGCTTTCTCAGTCTTACTTTCACTCTGGATACTTAAGTCAGAGTGTATTTACCAGGATATTCGGGAGAATTATCAATCACGTCTCCTTACGTGCAGCCCATTCATCATTTTAGGACAACCGAAATCATCTTAGCAACAAACAGTTCGATTTATTCACTTTAATAATGAGAAAGTGTAACGACGAACGTGCTCTTTTTACGGGTTTCTCTGCGCTGTAACTTAAGACAAACGGCATATCCATAGAAATAGGGTGACTTAAGTAGCTTCGAAAAATATTTTGATCGAAAGGTGATTACGTCAAAAAGGAATTTGACTGGTAAATATATTAAAAATAAGATGTGATCCTATATTCGAACAGTATATAAATAGTGTAATAGCAGGAGGTTAAAATGCAACCGCTGAAAATATGAATTATCGCGTATTTCTGTTGTTCGTTAAATTCCAAGTGAAATTCGAGAACGTAATTTCATTGGAATAGCTTGTTTAACCAGGTCTTAAACAAACGTCACGTCGGTCATAGCTTGTTGTGATTGTCTGAACCATGCGTAAAGAGAAAATCGAAACATTGAACGTCGCGTGAAAGTGGATCTTAATGAAGGCCTAAGTACTCTTTCGTAGCTTTTAGTTTTAGGATTTCAAAGATCGTCGGTTGCAGTGGCTTGCTTACTGAGGAGAAAAATGCAGTCCCAGATCCTTTCATATTAAAAATGCATGGTGAGATCGCTTGTTTATCGTGTATTTTGTAAAACTTTTCATTGTCGTCGGTGCCGGGTTTGAATAGTTATAAAAACTTGAGTAACGCTATAATGTGATATGAGAGGCTCGGTGGCCTTAGAGCAACCGTTTTTGCTTACTAAGCAGAACATCTCAAGCCCATCCACATTCAAGATTCGTCAATGATTAAAAAGAAGCTCGTCTGCCTAGTGGCAAACGTTTTTGCTTACTGAGCAGAAGACCGTGGGTTCATCCCAAGCTCCTTCGCGTTATACGATCGTTAGGACATCAATTCAGCTTATCGTTTACCAAAACGAACTCTGCTGCAAACCCAACCCTCTTACCCAACATCCCTGTGATTCCTCGTGGAAGTGCAGAGGACTCCTCGGCTTCCATCAAAGCGAGTGTCACGTCAACACATTCCTACCCATTTCTTTCTTGACCTGCGTTCAGGCGCGGCTGGCGCTGGTATTGCCTAATTCGAGATCACCAGTTTTTACACATTGAGGTTGATTGCTAGTCCCAAGCATCGTCTATTGGTTCTCTGTGTAATTACAGCTGGTCTGGCAATAACAGAGTAGCAACCGTGGGCGGTCAATCATGCTCATGCTCATGTTCAGTCTTACTTTCACTCTAACGACTACGATTTAATTTTCCCAACGCGTCGACCATGCGAAACCACTTCAGAAAGTACTGAATTACTTCAGAAAAGCTCGGAATCTCTACGGATAATATTAAATCACTTAAGATAATTTCGGATTCCCATTGGAAAGTACTGAATCATCCCAGAAAGTTTGCAATCATTTCTGCAAGAACGAAATCACTTCGAAAATAGGAATGCACTGAATCACTTCGGAAGTACTGAATCGCTTCAGAAAGTTCATAATCACTTCGAAAAGTACTGAATAATTTCAGAGAGTACTGAATCACTTCAGAAAAAATCGGAATTACTCAGGAATGTTTGGAATCACCCTGAAAAGTTCTGAATCATGCCAGATAATTTGTAATCACTTACGAAAGTACTGAATCACTTCGGAATGAACTGAATCACTTGTTAAAAGTTTAAAATCACTTCGAAAGTACTGAATCACTTTAGAAAAGCTCAAAAATTCTTCGCATAGTATTAAATGACTTAAGGAAATTTCTGAATTTCTTTGGAAAACACTGAATCGTTCCAGAAAGTTTGTATTCGCTTCCGTAAGAACTGAATAATTTCGGAAAGGTCTGAATCGCTTCACAAAACTTCGAAAAGTACTGTATTAATTCTCTTAAGTTTGCAATCAGTTCCTCAAGAACTGAATCACTTTGTAATAACAGAATCACTTCTGAAAAGTTTAAAATTCCATAATAAAATATTTAATCACTTCAGAAGAATTGAAATCACTTTGGGGAGCACAATTCCACAAAATTCGAAATCTCTTCTGAAAGTACTGAAATACTTAAGAAAATCCCGGAATCAGTTTGAAAAGTACTGAATTACTGCAGAAAAGCATCAGAAAGTACTGATTCACTTCAGATTGTACAGACGTAATTTAGCATGAGAATGATGAACCGCTCGGGGTTGCTACTCAGTTATTACCTAATCATCTGTATTACACAGAGAAGCAACAAATGCATCTGCAATGTGTAACACTGGTGACCTCATTCTTTACGATAGACAATAACACCACCTCTGCGGCGCCGGTGGTGTGGTGGTAAGCGTGATTAGCTCTCACCCCAGCAGGCCTGGTTTCAATCCCAGTCGGCGTCGCCGGGATGTTCTGAGGCATAACATCTCTGATCACGCTTTCCTTCGGAAAGGAAGTAAAGTCGTTGGTCCCCGGTTCATGAGTTAATGGGTCGATAGGTAGGGTCCAGGTATGGGAGCTTTCTCCATGGTGTCGGTAGCATTGGTGATCAGCACGGAAAACAAGATCGACGGAAAACAAACCAAGGAAAAAAAAACACCACCGGCCGTGTCCAAATCAAGGTCAATTAGGGAATGAATAGGAATACGTTGACGTGATTCTTGCTTTAAATCTGTTTATATATGCTGTAAGCAAATATTATTAATTAACAATATGGTTCATTTCCAGAATTCCCATATATTAGTGAAAAGACGCATAAGTAATACCCTCTCCCAGTGAGAAAGGTGACTAAAACATTCGTGGCCTTATTATTTAAGCGTGTAATCAATTCATACGTTTAATCAAATAAAAGGTGTGGCAAACAGTAATAGCTTTCTCATGCATTTTACACGCCTACCCTGACGTCATGGCATTGTACTACGTTCAGACTATAGTTGATATTAATAACGTAATAACGTAATATAATATGATATCTAAAGTGCCTAAATAACGTGATATCTGCGGTAGTTTGAATAAGCTTAGAGGTAATAAAAAATAAAGGCAGATTATATCTGCCATCCCTCTTTACATACCACATTGGCAACTGACAGGAGGAAAACTTTCAACACGCTAATAATCGTTAACCCAATTTTGGGTAATAGATTAACAAACACGGTTTTTTTTTTAGTTTTTTACTAAGGAGGTTTTTAGCCTATGGCTAGTTCATCTCCGAAGAAAGAAACAAACACGGTAAGAAAAAACACTCAAAAACACTAGAGTTTGAAAAAGCTCAAACACAAAAACACAAAAATGAATTCGATTTTAAGTTGAAGGTCATGTTTTCACCATTGTGAAATTTTAACTTATTTTTGGATGAAAATCATAGCAACCTGCGCTGCCTTTGATACTGTCATTTTTGTGCGCTTCATCGCCTTCGTTCGTGCTCCATTATTGGCGTTGACGGCACCGTCGAAAAATGGTCTCTTCTAGAAATGATTGACAGTTTCTTATGGGATTTTTCGGTGAAGTGAAAGGATAGTACCATAGAGGTAACTCTAAGACCAGAAGGTCCCGAAAAAATGTGCTCAAGTTTTTGGCTCAGTTCTGGTACTATCTTCGGTCCCAAGCTAATCGATGCACCCCTCGAAACATAGGAAAATCCACGAACTTCTCATTTTAGCTGACAAACTTCCATAAAGAATCAAAACAAACATAGTGTAGTACTAGAATTTCGACTAGAATAGGGTAAGTTAATCGATTTGCTTGGGACCATTAGGCTATTCAAGTAGTGAATCAATTGAAAATCGTTAGTTTCCACTAAATAGTTCGCGCAAAGGCTACGTGCCGCAAGCCGATATGTGCAAGGACTTGGACGGTAACCTTCTCACGAACGAGTGTGAGGTGATTGAGAGGTTTAAGCAGTACTATGACGAGCACCTCAACAGTGAAGCAGCAGAAAACGAAGGTGGCTCGGCAACAGACCTTGGAGCACGCGCAGAAGACGACAGG